CAATCTTGGGGTTAGATATAGCTACCAAGAAACAACAAGTCCACCAATATAACTTTTATTCATTAATTCAACAACAGTGTTTAATTATCTCCAAGAAGATAATTTGATTCTCTAAAAGAAATCTTGTTACCTTCTACTAACCCGAATAATAGCAGTAACACTAATTATACTTTTTCAACGTCAATAATCAAAATTTATGTCTAACCTTTAACGGGCAAATTAACTATTTTACTGTGATTATTGTTGGTGATCGTGGAAACATCGGACTTTACTTCTTTAGTGCTGACGAACCAAATTGGCCAAACCCTACCTTACTTTTATATATAAAACTCTCTCTTTTCTATACATAAAATTTCAATCAATCAAAAAGACATACTCCTATATGCTTTCACGCTGGTATTTTCCTTCGTCTCTTTCCATATGTTTTCACAATCTTTAATCCTCCATGAACACGTGTATATACACAATTACAACTGTGTTATTATTTTCTCGTAATCGCCAATTAATACTGGAATTAGTTATTCAAAAGATTTTGTTGTCTTTGCTTTTAGTGGCAAACCCTAAAGAGAGAAATCGACTAGCCAACCAAACACCACCTTTCAAATGGTGCTATGAATTTGGACAATTTAGGCAGAAGTTAGGGTACCGACCAGTTAATAGCCTACAGATGATTAATATCAATAATAAATTGGTCACTGATTTGAGTATCTCTAAGTATAAACTAATATATTATTTATTAAATAGATATATTAGTCGTATATTGATATATTGATTGATTGTCCTAATGAAATTTCATCTACCTAACGCAAGAACATTATCCTTTAAAGAAAAGACATCGATGTTTTATGGTTTGGTATAACCATGGATTAGCCGAGTGCTAGTCGACGTAAGTCACGTAACTAATTAACAATTTACTGGTTTATAAGGCTGGCTATTAATCAAACGACCTTTAGAAGTTTTCATTTTCATATGTTTTATTGCAACTTTGGTAGAAAAATTCCATTTACTACAAGAGCAAGGTTCCACATATAATAGGCTTTATTTTCCATATATACTTGATTACGTGTCTCTCTTGATGAGAATTTAGATACAGTTCCAAATTATCAATATTTCTACAAGACTTACAAGTATTGGAAAGTGATTTTGATAAAGAAACTTTGATTATAACGTGACGCCAATGTTTTACAGAACACTTGTCGTTAGGTTTTGCTATATATTGTGTCGAGTTGAATTATTCTTATAGCAAAGGGGGATGAAAAGTCTTAAAGTCGACGATAAGATTGTCTACATTCTACAATATTCGATCATATCATGGACCATGGTCAACGATAATAAGTTTTGAAAACAAAAAAAGTTCACCTTGTTCTCTAATAAAATGTTGGCACAAATATAAAAATTATAATAATGGGCCATAACAAAGCCCAATTAAAATTTTGCGGGCTCATTTTTTCCACCAAAAGCCTCCCAATTAACAAATTCATGCGAACCATTAAGGTATCTTTTGCTATAATGCGAGTTATATTAGATTATATGCACTCTTACAATATTTGACCATTTTCCAAATTCCAAATAACCATTTTGAAAGAAACGTTTGTGTTTTTTTTTTGTTTTTTGAAAAAGTAGAAACGTTTTGTGTTTGTTTCACTATTTGTCAAACAAGTGAATACATTTTTTATTTGTAAAGAAAGCAAAAAAATGTTAAGTGTCTACATTTCCGACACGTTGCAGCTTCCACGGAGTTCTCTTATCTGTTTTGGTTCGTCGTTTCTACGGTCAAGGATCTCTCTTTGTTTCTTCACTCCTTTTCCCATAAACTGTCACAAGTT